AAAAAATTCTGTGAAAAGAAACCCAGAACCAATATCTTTTTTAGATGCTGAGAAAAGGTACATCGTAAAAGGTCAGTTTTAGCATTATTGGTGTATGTCCTGCCAACTCCCCTTAAAACATCAGCTGCACTAATCAATTAGTAAACTTGAGGTTGCCCTGTTGGGCCATTAAGACTGAGTCCTGAAATGTGAAGATCCAATCATTGGATCAAAAGATATTCATGGCACTGTCTGTTACTTTTTTTCCCACTCAACAATTATTTTTTAGATACATGGAAAAAAAGTTACGCAAAAAGAAAGACCACTCTGAATAACTTTTTATCTAATGATCGTATCCTCACGTCCTAGGACTCAATCGAATTGAGGGGATAACCTCAACTATGCTAATTTATAAGAGCAGAAGATTGCCATTAGTTGCGAATTCAGACAAAAAAACGTACTTTCTTTGAATAAAAATACTTTTTTCCGAAGGATACGGACATCTGATTCCTGAAATATAGGGTGGTGGTAGCAATCTGGGAACTATCGCCCCAATAGTTTGATCAGGAGAGCATTTAATGTTAATTTTACTTTTTGAGTATTTCACTATATGTGGAGAACTTTTAAAGGAATTGAAAATTTGTTACACACAATTATAGAATTCGTTTATCCAAGCATAATTCCAAGAAAAATTAGCTTTTAGTAAATATTTAATATTTCTTACTTTTTTATTTAAGAATGATTGAATTTTGAATTGTAATAATTATAATTTTTTTACATAATTTTAAAGAATATAATTTTAAATGGTAAAATACAAAATTTGAGCAAAATCGGTTAAATAGCTTCTGAAAAATTGAGTTTTAGAAATCTGACTTTTTTTAAATTCATTTTCTCAGGAACTAATTAGCCGATTTTGCTCAAATTTGTACTTCACCTTGTAAAATTATATTTCTAAAATGGTGTAAAAATATTATACCTTACAATTCAAATTTCTTAGACCATATTATTAATAATTAAATGAAATTAAATAATAAAACAATAAATATTTACAATAAAACAATAAATGTATTAATTTGAATTATCTTTGGATAAACAAATTTAATAATTGTGAGCATTTTTTTTAAAATTTACTTAGAAAATTCTCGAGATATATAATGCAAATATGCAAAAAGTAAAATTAACATTAATGGTTATAAGCATTGGAGTGTTCTCCTGTGACCATAATTACCAGATTGAGGCTACTTTGTATAATTTGGGGATCAGAAATGTGAATCAATTGAAGGCAAAAGGTGTGTTTATTCAAAGAAAACATTTTCTGTGTCTGATTTTGAGCACAAATTAATTAGCATATTTGAAGCCACCCCTTCGAACCATTAAGATTGAGTCCTAGAACGTGAAGATCCTTTCATTATATCGAAAGTTATTCAGGGTGGTCCATATTTTTAGCGCACTGTACAATGATTACAAGATATTTACTATCTACATACTAATGGTAGTACATTAGATACCTTAAGACCGTTTTTTATGTGGCCCGATTGTGTAAACATGAGCAGTTCTTACAAAATAGATATAAAAATTAAATAATATTAATTAATGCAAAAACGATATAATTTTCATTACTAATGTAATTAGAAATACATCATTTTGTACTCACGTTAAGAATAACACAGCTATCAATTTTCTCAAAAAGTCTTTCAGCAGATTATGCTTTTAACGATTTCAGCCTACTTTTATTCCGTCATTATTCGATGTTTAATCAGGCTGGTTTCTGTCAAGCTCTAAAAGTAATAAATCAAAATGAAATGGAAATGTTATGCAAGCAAGAAGAGTTTCGAAATGTCTAACAATTTCAGGATCACGAGAAGTATTAAAAATTCAACAGAATGACATCCGATATTTTGACATTCCATTAACTGTAAATGTCATTATGCGAATAAAATGCACTTTTATGAGTATCAACAGTATGTGTAAACATTTTATGCATTTTCACTTTTTTTTCAAATTAATAAAGCAAAGGCATTATTTGTCGTAGGAAAAATTTCCAAGTGATTAATTTTAAGGTAAACGTGACGTTCCCATGACTATTTTCTTGTTGTTGTTATTTTTATTTGTATGGTCAAACTTTTATTTCAAAATATTGATAATGAAGATATGGGAAAATAATTGCTTGTAGCAGCATTTATATTTAGAACCAAGAAAGAATCAATGATTTTCAGCATAATTAATAAATGTTTCCAATTAAATCATTGTTTTAAGCCAAGTACATAGATCTTCCAGTTATATATTTCTTAGAAGTGAAAATTTTTTTGGAAAAATTTCTGGCAAATTCAAAGTAATGTATGGTAAGGGAAATTCTGGTTAAAAAACATTTTCCTGGCTAATAAAACCAAAATATTTCATATTTGAACCATTATTTTGGTAATTTTTCCATTCATATGGTAATAGTTTACTGGAAATTTTGGATTTAAAGATTATACTTTCAAAGCCATACTTAAATAATAGTTCTTACTACCACACGTCTTGTAAAAAAAAAGAAAAAATAAATAAAATGCAAATTTTTCCGAATGGATACTTTTATCGTATGCTCTACGGTATCATGATAAATTTACAATTTTAGATTTACCAAATTTTATCACGTATCAGAAAAAAAAATTTATTGCTAATTTCTCCAAAATTATTACCATTGCCCTTTGGTAAAAATCGTGGTGAATTTTACCAAAATCATGGTAGCTTTGACTATGCATTTTTCTTAGAGTAAAATGGAAAATATGTATTTAATTTGAACTAAGAGTTTAGTCTAACCATACAATTTGCTACATATAATTTTACTTTTTAATCATACTTCTACCATTTTTAGTTTATATCTTTACGTTTATTATTTTTACGTTTACTTTGTAAGGGACTTTAATGGAAAGCTTAGCCTGGGGGAAAACTTTTTTTGTTGCACTTTTACAAATACTTGATTTCGCTCAAATCAGCCATGCGGATTTCCAAAATGAAATTAGTTTTACTCCTTAAGTTACAGTTTCTTATTAAATGACATTTTTAGTCTATTTTTGTCGAAATATACAAGTTTGAAAACGTTATAAATAACAGGGGATGATGTGAATGTTGTGACAAATTTATAGAGGAGATATTTTGATTGAAATTTCATAATAAACCATGCCTGGAAATTCACTGTACGTGGCAAGGCGTGCTTCTCTGCTGTGTCCTGCTCACAAGCGTACGGGGAAACAGATCATAATAATTAAGCGATCCTAGCGACGTTGGCGCTATATTTATGCAATCGCCTGTTGCATATAACTTATTTAAACTTGTGCATTTCGACAAAAGATAGACTAAAAAAGGTTATTTAAAATTGGAAAGAGAATGATGATTCGAGAGTGACTGAGATTGCAAATTCAAAATCTGCGATATAAAAATATCTATGATCTGTTAAAAGTTATCAGGCAATAGAAAAGAAAATATTTACTCCTCAATTCTACAGATTAAATATAATACCTGAAAAATCTTTTGTTTTGACCTTAGAAAGATATTTTGCTTCGCGTGACAAATTTCATACATATGAAACACAATTACAAGACTTTTTTTATAGACTTCTGTAAGAAGATAAAATCTATATTTTGAAATCACCTAGAAACATTTGCACAGAAACATCTTCGATGTCATTAATTTTGTATTGTGCTAGCTTATCATCAACACGTATTAGTATTATTTTTAATGATTTTTGTAAATTACCTTAATGTGATATTAACTTAAATCTTATGATGCCTTATCTTAAGATGCCTTACTTAAAATTTTAAGATGAAAGCCCAATTGCCAGTACTGAAAAGTAGTGTCAAATTCATGCCTCAAATCATGTTCACATTGCATCAATTTTATCCTCTCCTCCAAATTTTGTATTTCAGAAGCGTCAGTTTTGTACTATGTCAATCAAACATCAAGGTTTTGTTGAAAATCTTCCTAATACCTCTCATGGGTCTATAAGAAAAATTTTATCAAATTACAGAAAAAAGTGCCGATACGCCTGTTGTTTGTGCTTTTTACCTTTTTTTTTACTTAAATGGTAAAATCTATTTTTTCTGGAACAAGTTACGAAGCGAAAAATCTGAGCAGCAATAAACTTTACAGTAACAACTACCGTAAAATCACTGAATGACTCTATTTGAATATAAATTCTTTATTCTGTAATTTGATTCAGATTTTTTCACCGTGAGAGGTAGGTTTTAAATGTCTCTCTGCTCCCTGTAAGGATTTTAATGATGGATGCAATTTTTTATTTGCTTTTTAGTTATCTCTGCTTGTTTTTTCACAAAAAATGCTAAATTTCTTGGATTGTAAGCTTTCTTGCCTCCTTATATTTCCAATTCTACTTTGCACGAGTTTAAAAATTGACCTCACCGAACTTGGTTCTCTAGATAGCTTATAGCTAACAGTAGTTCGATGGGTTATTCAGAATCAAAGCGATTTGACGGCATTATCTTTTTGAGTATAAATTACTCTTGAAGCTGAAGCAATTTAAACTTTTGTTAAGAAATTTAAATAATTATTTATATATGCTCAAACAAGTTCTTACATATCCAAGATTTGTTTTAGAAACTAATTTTTATACAGCACAGTTATAGTGCAAATATTACGTCAAAAATTAGTGATTAAGACCTAAATATTGAAAATTCATATTGAATAAGACCTAAATATTGAAATTTCCATGTCCAGCAAAATTTTATCCTGCAATTTTAAAAATAAAATCAGTAAGTTAACATTTTGTGTGCTCAATTCAGTTTATATATTTTCAGTTTTTCTTTTTATCAACTTAGCACTAAAAATCGCAAAAATATTTAGATTTATTAAAAATGAAACGTAAAAGAAATTAATTCGATAATTGCTATATTTTTCTTTCAAGTGTATACAGGAAAGATATTATGCTTTGCACTTGAAATGAATATAATCTCAAAAAAAAAAAAAAAAAAAAAAAAAAAAATGAAATGAAGCTGGAAAATATACTTGATATACTTAATACTTGATACTATTAACATATCTTGGACATGCAATAACTTGTTTAATATCAATATAATCAAAAACATTACATGATTTTCGATTGGAAATTAGAACGAGTTGGATTTTGAGATTATTTTATTCAGGAAATGTTAGTGTCTTTAATATTAAAAAGAAAACATCGAGAATTGAGTATAATTATAAAATTTTGAATCTGAAAGAAAACAGACCATGAACAAAAATATTAGATAAAGCATTCAAAAAAATTTTTTATTCAGACTTTGTAAATCTCTCTTAAATATAAATCTCGAAACTTTATTTTAGTCGAAACAATTCACACCATTAAATCATTTGAATAAACTATACTAATAATTAATTTTTACAAAAAAGTCAAAGAAATTCAAACTAACGTTTCATTTAAAAATTTTATTCTGTATGCTTCTTCTGTAAAAAAAAACAAATAGCTTGTGTATCAATAATAATTCACATGTTAGTATTCTTCGTCTGACTCCGAATCAGAGCTAGAATCTTCTTTAGTATTTTTACATGAGCCTGAAAAGAAAAAAAAATATTCATAATACATAAATTTACATTTCTTTTTTTGCGTTTTAGTTCTTTTTATTGGATGAAGCTTATTATTATTCTAATCTATCATTATCTGTTTCTAATGAAATCGTTATCTGTTTCTTATATTTTAGTTTTATGGGTCGTTTTATATAAGTAGAAGCATTTCAAAAGAAAGGTCGCTAATTAATTTTAAATATTTTATGAGAAAATATTTTAAATTAATATGCAAGGGAATAAATGTCGGGAAAATTGTATAACTGTTTATTTCTAGTCAACCAAAATATATGGTACATAAACCATTCATTTGCTAATTTTTCCGTTCATGTGATAACGGTTTAAAGGAAATTCTGTTTTTCAAAATATTTCTTATTACCACACATCTAGTAAAAAATTCAAAATTGAAAAATGAAATTAGCCGAAGAAATGTTTTTTATACCATGTTCTAATAATAAATTGCTATTTATCACATTTGCCAAATTTTATCACTCCTTATAAAACTATATTTAATTGTTAATTTTACCAAAGTAATTCCCAAAGAGCTCCTGTAAAAATTACCGGGAGTTTCGATGTTCCCTATAGAGCCAGGAATATAGTAAAATCTTCCATACTCTGGTATCTTTTGCCATACTTTTTTCTTCATGTATAAACCAGTATAATCCAGTGAACATTACATATAATCAGAAAATTAACTTATGTTATTAAGTTGTGCATAGCTTTACAAACAGTAAGCTATGATGTGTGCTGTTAAATATATAGTAAATATTTTAGCAGTAATTTCGATTTCCAAAATTTCACCCTTTCTAATTTTGATGCTCTTCGTTTATCTTCTAATTAGTAGCTCTACAAGTTAAACTAAATAATTAGATTATTCATTGCTCTGTGGATAAATTTTTACAAATGTAAGAAGTAATTTTTCGTATAGATAACGCTAAACTATAAAGATATTCTTAATTAAAACTTTTTCCTCTCACAAAATCATTTTTCTCATTTTAAAGGAATCATTAATGAAATCTTTGACCACAAGATTCAAGATTACAGGAACGTTAATTTTCATTCATATTCTGCATTAGCTTAAAGTTAATAAAATGTATAGTGAATTATATTTTATCCATAGTGAGGTGCACAAACATATTGTCCATGTTCTTCAAATTTCAATCTTTATTCCATATTTAATAATATATGAACCATATTCAACTTTATTTGAAATTTACTGCAATAGCTTACAACAGGAAGCGCCTCTTATTTTTGGCGATTTGAAAGCAAATGAATATATGTATGCGTAAATAAACCAAGAACCGACATATAAAGGTAAACAAAATTTGCGGTAATTCATTCAAAGCTAAGAATGCAAAGTATATATATATCACGGTAACCTAAAATTGGATTTCAGCAAAACTGAAGGAAAATTATTTCCAAACCACGGGGCCTCCGTTCTCTACTAGAGCCAAACTTAAAATGCACAATCATGTACTAATACGAGTAACGCGAAAATAATGGCAAAGATTTCTTTCAAAAGTGTTAATTTTAAAGAATAATTATATTATACATATCCGAAGCAAAGAGGACAAGCCTTCCCGTATCTAGTGCTATAAAGAATTTAAAATTATTTGGATGACCTTCTCGTTAGTTTAAATTTATTTTAAACTAAGCAAATAAAATTCATCAACGTTGTAGTTTAGTTTAGATTTAAGCTACGCAAATGCAGAGTTTTCAACGACGCGCTAAGACTTTTGTATCAAGTGTAAAATTTAAAATTCAGTTAATGTTAAATGTAATATTTATTTAAATATATGTAGGCTTCTCAACATTTTGAACGCAAAACAAATACCTGAAAATTCCTTCCATTTTTATTCAATTTTCTATATGATTAAATTTTATTTATCGTTGCATCATTGCCCACCATTACCTTCCTCTGTCGTTGCCAAAGCAACTCACATCAAAACTGGCTAGCTAGATTTCAGCAATGCCTGATACTACAACTGAAGAATTGCTGAAACTGCCAAAAAAGGATTAAATGAACAAACAAGCCGTGATATTAATTCTAATTCCTTTGAATTCCAGTCTCAGAAGGGATAATCATAATTTCTCTACGAACAATTTATCCTATATTATTGAGTGACGGATTCATGCAGTTCTCTAAAAAACTATGTCAGAATCAGTCAAATCCAGTACAGTTCCATCAAGGCTTTTTTAATCTATCACACGGTAGTATATTTTTTTCTTGCTTATGTTAGCCTTTGTTTTTGATCACTCTTACACGTCTATAAAAATATTATCGTTACAATAAATTAATTTAAGCAGTTGTAAAAATATCTCTTACGTTTTGGACATTGACTTGGTTGTATGCATTCACCCTTGTCATTTCTAACCATTCCATCTCGACAGAAACAACCCTTGACGCATAGAAAAGAGCAGACTTGATTTTTTCCTAAATTAGCGCAAGTTTTGGGACATGTAGAGCCACATTCACTGTAAACTTCATTTTTCCCGCAAGTGTCTGATGATTCCGAGAACACAAATTAAGAAAATCAATATAATTTTAGATGATATAAAAAATGGAAAAATAAAGCTAAATATAAGATAAATTTCAATTTTTTGCTCTGTTATATATAAATATTACCCTAACCACAATCACATATTTAAATAATATTGAAAATGTTTTCAATTATAATCTCGCATTTTAACAAGGCGTAATAAATATAAATAAGTTTTCTGAATTTTTTTGCATCAATGCCTGAAAAATGAGAAACTTGTTGGAAGAGTAAACCTCCGATATTCAATTAAATTTAATTTATTGCTTTAAAATTAAACATATCTTTCTTAAATTTCGAAATTCATAAATATGTTCCAATTTTCTTTAAATCCATGTCAACATTGCCTCAAAACACACACGTTCAGTGTGAGATACATCTGCGGGACTTTAAAGGTACTTGCCTACGTTGAAACAGTGAATTTCGACCAAAATTACCATTTTTTATTATTATTTCACATTGCAAAACATACATTTAGCTTTCTAAAATCGTTTTCCTTTTTATTCTACCACCTCTAGAAAGAAAGGTACAGTCGTTTCAATGACGACTGTCGTCTGCAAAATGAAACCGGAAGTAGAGATAAGGAAACCAGAAGTGGAAGTTAGTCTTTCTGTTAGCCATAGTTTTGCTTGAAATATCTTTATTTTTTCTTTCTGCAATAGTTTTCAAATAGTTAATTTTGAATGGCGACAAATTTGGTTTAAGATTTTGTATTAAAGTTTGGCAACGAATAGAAATTTCAGATCTACAGGTAATCTTTCTTTTTTGTTTCATAGGCCCCGCAGTGAAGTGCTGGCATTCATTTTTAAAAGTTAAATTTACTTACAACACCAACAGTTATTATTTTTGTAGTTTCTTTAAATGGAATATTATTTTTCAGAAAAAAATATACAAAATTACTCTATTAAAAACAAGAAAGTCATTTCCATTTTTTGTTTATTTTATTTATTATTATTTTTTTTAAGTTTAAACTTATATCCAGATTGCTTTTCACAACTGTTAATAATATACTTTAGATATTTGCTACTTGCAACAAATACATTGTTAATTTCAATAATGTTGCCACTAGCAAAAACAAAATTAGTCTTTTTCTGAGTTTACATGGAACTTACATTTATAAAAATAGTTAACTCTTACACTACAATAAAAATAAAATGATACACTAAAGCAATTTATAAATTTCAAACAAAAAAAAATTCTTACTTTTTGGACATTGATTTGGGTTAACACATTTACCGCTGTCATTTCTAACTAATCCTTCTTTACAGAAACAACCTTCGACGCACTGCTTAGTGCAGACTTGATCTTTTCCCAAGTTGGCACAAGTTTTGGGACATGCAGATCCGCAATCATTATAAACTTCATCTTTTCCACAAGTATCTTGTAGTATTAAGAAAATAAGTTTCAAGAATTAATAAAACAGAAGAAAAAATATTGCATGATTCTAGATATTATGAATAATGGCAAAATGAAGCTATAATGCTATTTTTTGGTCTTTCATACAAAAGAATTATCCTAAACATAAATACTAAAACAATTAAATGATAGTGGAAATGTTTTCACTTATGATTTAGCATTTTAACGTGCAAATAAAATATTAATTATGTATGTACTATTTTGTGTACATATTTTGTTACAAATTAAGAAGCTAGTTAAGAAAAATAAATCCTCGTCATTGAATTTAATTCAGTTTTGTGGTTGAATATTTAAATAAATCTTTTTAAATATTCGAAGGAGACGATTATACATTTTTGACTACTGTCATCTTCTGTCAATTTCATATGCACCTAGAAACAGTACTGATACTTATTTTTCGTAGTTAAAGTGTCACTCCTCTGAAAAATAATGAGCTTTATAATTCTTTCCCGATAGCTTATTTCTTTTTATAAAAAATTTATAAAACTTAATAAGTTAAAGGAATATTAATATGTTAAAAAGTTAATAGTCATATTAATATATTTTTTTTGTCTGAATTTATCTTCAGAAAACATTACACAATTTTTACTGATACCCTATATATATTTTTCGCTTACAACTGATAACTGTTGCAGCACAGAAAAATACAAATTTCCCCTTTATCCGACGTTACATAGAGATTTATGTATTCAAAGAAATTTTACAGTGACAAAGATTATTTATAGCGATAATTTTTTGGTATTTTTAAATTTCAAGTCGATATAAGTTTTTGTGGGGCCGCATTATTACCTTAAGAGTATTCATTATTTTTTGGTGATATTTTTGATGATATTTTTAACATGCAAAAGTTATCTCTTTTCATTCTTTAAAAAAATTTAATGAATTGAATGATTACCTTTAATTTTTTGACACTCTTCACAGCAGCCGCATTTCGGTTTTACAAGCTTGTAACCTGTCCTGCATCTTATTTGTGGACAGTGTTTTTTTGAGCAATTCACATTGCATTCTTCTGTACGAATGGTAGGAACATTTGAGGAAAATTAAATGCATGAAAGAAAACATTACATCAGTTGTAAGAATAACATAAGTGGCATGAATGAAATCAATCAATGTTAATTCTATGAACCAAAATTACATGTATTACGTCATTTCACGTGGTACCAAAATTGCAGGTATTTCGTTACCTAAGTTGGCAACGATTCAGTCGTATGTGATTTCATTGGATTTGTAATTTGTTTCACTCATAAGGGGGCTAATCCTTCTGTTCACTGCCCCTCATTAACCCTGATGATTTCTTCGTACTAATTACTCTTTCTTGGCAGAAAAACAACAATTCTCTAAGAAACAATTAGACACATTTAGAAAAAACAACAATTCTCTTAGTTTTGAACTCTTGAATTAAAAGCNCTGTCATCTTCTGTTAATTTCATATGCACCTAGAAACAGTACTGATACTTATTTTTCGTAGTTAAAGTGTCACTCCCCTGAAAAATAATGAGCTTTATAATTCTTTCCCGATAGCTTATTTCTTTTTATAAAAAATGTATAAAACTCAATAAGTTAAAAGAATATTAATATGTTAAAAAGTTAATAGTCATATTAATATATTTTTTTAGTCTGAATTTATCTTCAGAAAACGTAACACAATTTTCACTGATACCCTATATATAATTTTCGCTTACAACTGATTACTGTTGCAGCACTGAAAAATACAAATTTCCCCTTTATCCGACGTTACATAGAGATTTATGTATTCAAAGAAATTTTACAGTGACAAAGATTATTTCTAGTGATAATTTTTTGGTATTTTTAAATTTCAAGTCGATATAAGTTTTTGTGGGGCCGCATTATTACCTTAAGAGTATTCATTATTTTTTGGTGATATTTTTGATGATATTTTTAACATGCAAAAGTTATCTCTTTTCATTCTTTAAAAAAATTTAATGAATTGAATGATTACCTTTAATTTTTTGACACTCTTCACAGCAGCCGCATTTCGGTTTTACAAGCTTGTAACCTGTCCTGCATCTTATTTGTGGACAGTGTTTTTTTGAGCAATTCACATTGCATTCTTCTGTACGAATGGTAGGAACATTTGAGGAAAATTAAATGCATGAAAGAAAACATTACATCAGTTGTAAGAATAACATAAGTGGCATGAATGAAATCAATCAATGTTAATTCTATGAACCAAAATATCGTCTAGCATAGTTGTGATCACCCGTTAAACCAGTAAGATTGAATCCTAGAACGTCAAGATCCGATCTTTAGTGAAAGTTATTCGATGTGGGTTCGTTTTTCTGGCACACTGCGTATAAATAAATTTTGCTAAATTTTTTTTTTAAATATTTATAATTCAATTTCAAAATAAAAACTATTTTTAAAACAAGGAACCAAAATGCTCTAGAAAAATATCGGATTTAAACAAAATAATGTTTCGAAATTTGAATCTGTACTTCCCGAGAAAACTGCGTCTTTGATTAGTTCAAATATTTGTATTTTAACACAAAGCTGGATAGCTGACTTGATTCTCAATTTATTCCTTGCTTCTTGAATTAATTGACGAAACTGCGTTACTGTCAAGATTTTTGCGAAGTAGGCGTTACTGCGTGTACAAATCACGTTCGGAGGTCACCAATTGGGGGCGGTGTTCACGACCAGGTTAACGGTCATCTATCAAAAGGTACCTCGTGGTTAAATCAAGTTAGCATGTCTTATATACCAGTGAATTGATGTTTAATTTTCATAGTGGTAGTTACGCCACACCACTAGCAAAGACAAAATTAGTCTTTTTCTGAGTTTACATGGAACTTATATTTATAAAGATAGTTAACTCTAACACTACAATAAAAATAAAATGATACACTAAAGCAATTTATAAATTACAAATTAAAAATTCTTACTTTTTGGACATTGATTTGGGTTAACACATTTACCGCTGTCATTTCTAACTAATCCTTCTTTACAGAAACAACCTTCGACGCATTGTAAAGTACAGACTTGATTTTTTCCCAAGTTGGCACAAGTTTCGGGACATGCAGATCCGCAATCATTATAAACTTCATCTTTTCCACAAGTATCTTGTAGTATTGAGAAAATAAGTTTCAAGAATTAATAAAAGAGAAGAAAAAATATTACATGATTCTAGATATTATGAATAATGGCAAAATGAAGCTATAACAGAGATGCCAACTGCTCCGGATACGCCAAAATAATTAAAGAAACGGTAAATAACTACAAAGTAAATTCTGCAAACATTTGACTACTTTTGCATGCTTTTTAAAAAGTTTAACCTGACTTAATTATTATTGAGTGGTGAATTATATAAGCCTACGAATTATTTAGAAATAGTGGTGGATAAAAATCTACTTAATTGAATTTATTAAACCAAGAATCATAATTGATAAATTATCACTTTAAAATATATATTTGCTGTCCGGAGCAAGTTGGCATCTCTGCTATAATGCTATTTTTTGGCCTTTCATACAAAAGAATTACCCTAAACATAAATACTAATACAATTAAATGATAGTGGAAATGTTTTCAATTATGATTTTGCATTTTAACGTGCAAATAAAATATTAATTATGTTTGTACTATTTTGTGTACATATTTTGTTACAAATTAAGAAGCTAGTTGAGAAAATAAATCCTCGACACTGAATTTAATTCAGTTTTAAGGTTGAATATTTAAATAAATCTTTTTAAATATTCGAAGGAAGCGATTATACATTTTTGACTACTGTCATCTTCTGTTAATTTCATATGCACATAGAAACAGTACTGATACTTATTTTTCGTAGTTAAAGTGTCACTCCCCTGAAAAATAATGAGCTTTATAATTCTTTCCCGATAGCTTATTTCTTTTTATAAAAAATGTATAAAACTCAATAAGTTAAAAGAATATTAATATGTTAAAAAGTTAATAGTCATATTAATATATTTTTTTAGTCTGAATTTATCTTCAGAAAACGTAACACAATTTTCACTGATACCCTATATATAATTTTCGCTTACAACTGATTACTGTTGCAGCACTGAAAAATACAAATTTCCCCTTTATCCGACGTTACATAGAGATTTATGTATTCAAAGAAATTTTACAGTGACAAAGATTATTTCTAGTGATAATTTTTTGGTATTTTTAAATTTCAAGTCGATATAAGTTTTTGTGGGGCCGCATTATTACCTTAAGAGTATTCATTATTTTTTGGTGATATTTTTGATGATATTTTTAACATGCAAAAGTTATCTCTTTTCATTCTTTAAAAAAATTTAATGAATTGAATGATTACCTTTAATTTTTTGACACTCTTCACAGCAGCCGCATTTCGGTTTTACAAGCTTGTAACCTGTCCTGCATCTTATTTGTGGACAGTGTTTTTTTGAGCAATTCACATTGCATTCTTCTGTACGAATGGTAGGAACATTTGAGGAAAATTAAATGCATGAAAGAAAACATTACATCAGTTGTAAGAATAACATAAGTGGCATGAATGAAATCAATCAATGTTAATTCTATGAACCAAAATTACATGTATTACGTCATTTCACGTGGTACCAAAATTGCAGGTATTTCGTTACCTAAGTTGGCAACGATTCAGTCGTATGTGATTTCATTGGATTTGTAATTTCACTCATCAGGGGGCTAATCCCCCTGTTCACTGCCCCTCATTAACCCTGATGATTTCTTCGTACTAATTACTCTTTCTTGGCAGAAAAACAACAATTCTCTAAGAAACAATTAGACACATTTAGAAAAAACAACAATTCTCTTAGTTTTGAACTCTTGAATTAAAAGCGTGATAATAGCGGTACAGGGAAATAACTTTAAACTAGGGATGGAAAAATATTTATAGAAGAACGATAGCCTTATAACTTTTATTAATTTCATGCTGATGACCAAAACAATATGGAGTTGAATGAGGAAAAACTGGATCATTTCACATAATTTTCTGGCTAAAAGAATTAAAAGGACAACAATGGAAAACTGTGACACCACCATTAGAATTTTATGTATAGCAGGAAAGACACCACTTACTAACAACAAAAAATTAAAAAGAATACTGAATTTAGTTAGAAACGAATGCACCTAAATATAGGATTTCCTTTTTTTTTTTTATCTTCAGCGAAATTCAACTATTGTAACATTCTTATTGATACGACACATGGGTAGGATAAAAAAAAGTATAATGTCAATACTATTTTATGTAAATGCACACACTAACACAATGAGTTTTGTTATTCGACGGAAATTTAAAGATATTCGTAAAGTATTATAGTAAAGTATTCGTAAAGTATTACGTAATTTTCTGTTTTGATAAGGACATCAGATAGATTTCGATAAACATCGGCAGTTATATTATATAATTCAGATTTAAACTTCCTACATTTTTTCTTTGCATCTAAACATTATACTTTTTCATCATTATTATTAAAGTTTTTTTTTCTAAATTATCAATTACTCAAATTTTTTATAATTTGTGTACTTTTTTGTCAAAAAATTTCTTAAAAAATCAAAAAATTAAGCTTTTTATAAATTTAAAAAAAAGAAGACTTCATTTCCTTTTTATATTTTTACTAACTGGATTCCCGTTCTTTTTTTAAGGAAAGGACAAGAAAAATAATAATCAATAAATCAGCACTAAAAAACACTTAAGAATCTTGCACAATGCCGAGAGGAATATTCTACTGCAATTAATAAAACTAATTAATAGATCTAAAATAAAGATTAACTGTATTTATTCAAAGAAGTTATTATTACAAAAATCTGTGACATACTGCGTGCAAGTTATTCCTAGACAATACATGTGATGTGACCATCACAATGTTTGTTATGCCAATTGCCTACTGGGCTGTCTCCAACTGAAGCGCCCTCTTTGTTGTGTTTGGCTTTTGCGAGATCTCTAGGGCTCAGCGTCTAGCGCGTTGACTGTAGAGATTCTCGCAACTACTAAAGAGGGGAATCTATCTTTTTTTGTTGTTGTAGTTAATTTACGTCGAACNGGTGATCTACTGGGAACCGTGTCTTAACGATCAGTCCACAGCGGGGCATCTATCTTTTGAAGATAGACCAGTATTCCTGGTTGTGCTCTATCCGAAAGCGGCTTCTTTTTTCTGCATTTCTCTCGCCACCTGTGTGATCACAGATCGTGGATCTCATATTCATCTTTATTTTTACTAATTTAAAACTATATTTTAAATATAAATCTTATCTTTACTTTTACTACATTTTTAACAATTTTATGATGCTTATTATAAATTGATATCTCCACCCTGGAGCTCACAGGGCGGACTTGGAGCCACGTATGAGATATACTCTTTTACAGGAGATATACCCTTCTGCCAGTTCATGTATTTTCTTTACATTTATTTTGCCAAAATGAAAAATAAAAATGCCGTCATCAATTTGTCTTTCCTTTGGAGTATGAAAAGAACACAGCATGACCAGCAAACTTACCTAGGTGTAACAGTTCCTTCCTTCAAATCGACTACTCCAATAAAACCAACTGCCCTACCCAGCAAAGCAGTACACTGTGAAATATTCATGATAAAATTCCGGTAAAATGTACTGGCACCCTTGAATCCCCATCCGTAAAATTAATTTCACCGTACAAATTTATACCGTACATTGTGCAAAGTATTCCATTAAATTTAGTGATTTTGTAGTAAAACATCGCTTTAAAAATTACATTATATCTGAGTTTTGGCTTCGCAAAATTTTACGGTACAAATGTATTAAGTAAATAAATGTTATGTACGAAACACTACACGCTAAATACCGGTACTTTTTACTGTAATTTAATCCAAAATGTTTTAGTGTAAACTTCAATAATTCTGAACAAAAAACTCTTAATCTACGAAATTAGAAGTATTCGGTAGTTCTTATATCGAGAAGTAGTTGACTTATTGTGCATATTTTGAAATATTTTTTTCCGTGAGGTTATGCTTAGCTTCTTTTAGCAGTCTGCGGACGCTAAATATACTTATACCTTTTTTTTCCTTTTTGAACAAAGCACCGTTTAATGAGTATTGTTTGACACAATATCATGTGTTCACTATTAGGTAATAAACGTTAATTATACCCTATTACAATAAAATTTATAAAATCTTTTCTGCAAACGACATTATACTCCGTTGCAAGTTAAGAAAAGACGATTGCGGTAAAGGATTTAAGTAATCATCCGCGACTGCATATAGTTCCGCTTTATTTAGCTATCTAATTATATAATTATGCTTTTAAAACAATATAATAGCTTTTAAAAGTTCAACTCGTTATGCAGAAATACTATTTTTATAAGCAAAAAGAAGGTCGTGCTTTGTTGTTGGCAAGAGTTGGCGATATTGAAATTCATTCGGGCTTGGAACTTGGCGTCCTTTTAGCGTGCACATAGATGCAAACAGGCCTTTACCATAGGCATAATGGTTTTTTTCTTAACTTGCAACAGGGTATAGACTATAACTAAATTAAAAATCATTTGTGTATTCGTTAATATTGAACAAAGTTATGAAATAATAATAAACGTGATATTCTTAGCTCATCTAAATCGTAAGAAAACTCCCTCAATACTTTCTAGTTGAGTCAGCGATTGTTAGAAGAAATTTTTTATTTACTCTCCGTCTATTTGTCCTTCTCTAAATGGTTCTCTCGTTCTATCACCTTTTAATTTTGGGCACAGCTAACTTAATTGGTGGTGCATTTTAGCAAATAAATATTCAATATTATATCTATTTGCACCCATGTCACTTATTCTACCATTCTTAAAATACGTAGCTTCGTATCCATCCTGTAAACTATTCTTAGACAATGTGTAATTAGTAATTTTTTTTCGCAATAAAAAAAACACATTCTATCAGACATTTTTTCTGCAGAAGAGAAAAATAAATTATTTTTATTCCTTTATGTAAAATGGAAAGAAAAAAACAAAAAAATGGGTCACCCTGAATAACTTCTGATCTAATGATCGGATCTTTACTTTCTGCACCACAATCACAATTTTCAAATCTCAAATATGCTGATTAATTAGTGCAGACGATGTTTCAAGTTACTAAATCTCACACAGAAATGTACGTTCCCTGAATAAACATAAATTTTTTTCGACGGATTTGGATTTCCGATCCCCAAAACACAGGGGATAGTCGCAATCAGGGAAATGAGTTTTTTCTTCAAAGATAATTCCATGCAAAAAAATAAAAATTGTGAATACTTACCTGTATTATTTTATACTATTTTTTAGTAATAGTCGAAAACGTTTTAAATTATAAGAGCGAAATTGGCCGAATAGTTCGAAATCAAATTTTAAAAGATTAGTGCAGTTAAAATTCGATATCTCAGAAACTATTCAACCGATTTCATTCAAACTTTGCATTTTGCCTAGTAAAATTGTATACTTTAATATGATTGGAAAATCTTTATACCTTACTATACAAAATTGTTTTTCTTATTATTTAAAAAAATAATGTAAGCAATAAATACTCACAAAAATTTATTTTTTGCATGGAATTATGCATGGATAAACGAATTTTAGAATTGTGTTCAAAAACTTTTGATTCGCTTAAAATGCTCTCGAGATATAATGAAATACGCAAAAATTAAAATTAACATTAAGGGGTCCAAGCCTTAAAAGTATGTAATGAACGAAATAAGGGAAACCATATTTCCCAGATACCAGTTACCCTCCATAGTTTGAGGGTCAGAAAGCCGAATCTGTATAAAAAAGTTATACTTATTCAGAAAAATTGCGTTTTGTGATTGATTTCGTAACTTAAAATATCGTCTAGCATAGTTGTGGTCACCCGTTAAACCAGTAAGATTGAGTCCTAGAACGTCAAGATCCGATCTTCAGTTAAAGTTATTCGATGTGGGTTCGTTTTTCTGGCACACTGCGTATAAATAAATTTTGCAAAAATTTTTTTTTTAAATATTTATAATTCAATTTCAAAATAAAAACTATTTTTAAAACAAGGAACCGAAATGCTCTAGAAAAATATCGGATTTAAACAAAATAATATTTCGAAATTTGAATCTGTACTTCCCGAGAAAACTGCGTCTTTGATTAGTTCAAATATTTGTATTTTAACACAAAGCTGGATAGCAGACTTGACTCTCAATTTATTTCTTGCTTCTTGAATTAATTGACGAAACTGCGTTACTGTCAAGATTTTTGCGAAGTAGGCGTTACTGCGTGTACAAATCACGTTCGGTGGTCTCCAATTGGGGGCGGAGTTCACGACCAGGCCGACCGTTATCTATCAAAAGGTACCTCGTGATTGAATCATGTTAGCATGTCTTATATACCAGTGAATTGATGTTTAATTTTCGTAGTGGTGGTTACGCCACACCACTAGCAAAAACAAAATTAGTCTTTTTCTGAGTTTACATGGAACTTATATTTATAAAGATAGTTAACTCTAACACTACAATAAAAATGAAATGATACACTAAAGCAATTTATAAATTTCAAATTAAAAATTCTTACTTTTTGGACATTCATTTGGGTTAATACATTTACCGCTGTCATTTCTAACTAGTCCTTCTTTACAGAAACAACCTTCGACGCATTGTAAAGTACAGACTTGATTTTTTCCCAAGTTGGCACAAGTTTCGGGACATGCAGATCCGCAATCATTATAAACTTCATCTTTTCCACAAGTGTCTTGTAGTATTGAGAAAATAAGTTTCAAGAATTAATAAAACAGAAGAAAAAATATTACATGATTCTAGATATTATGAATAATGGCCAAATGAAGCTATAATGCTATTTTTTGGCCTTTCATA